CGCAACCTTCGGTGATGCACCCGCACTGCGCTCAGCCAGTGAGCGGGAACCGGTCTCCACATGGGATCCGAACCCTCAGCGGGAGCGCCGCTGCGCTCCCAAGCGGCGCACTCTCCAGTGCGCCACCGGGCCGGCCCATAAATTCATATAATTTTGTAGTCAGAGCCTTATAACTAGTGGCAATCATTAAAAAGTTTTTTATACAAAAAAATTTTAAGTAATAAACTGTTAAAGATAAATGGAGAATTAGTGTTTAATATAATGACTTAATTTTAAGCAAGACATCAAGTTTTAGAAAAGGTAGTGAAACTGAAATAGAAATACAGGGTAATCATTATCTGAATGTTTAAATCACCAGAGCCATGTGTAAGACCATCTTTTAGTCACTGAGGCTTCCCAAATGTGTTGACCCTAGGAAATTGTTTTTAATGTGTGATTTAGTAGCAAAACAGAAATATGCAAAACTATGGTTATAACTTCAAAGACCCAGTCTTACAGGGAAAACCTACCCAAACATACATAGTCATAAAATGAACTTAATAAACAGTGTTTCTTGCGGGGAACAAGTACAGAGTGGGAGTCATGAGAACTGGGTTCTTGTCTATGCCTGGCATACCTGGGGCTTAGACTGTCAGGAGCTTAGTTCCGTCTGTAAACATGAGGGTGGCAAAGAATATGCACTCCAAGGGCCCTCCCAACTCTGAAACCTTGATAATTCCCTTAATTATATTTGGGTGAAATTTTACGTCATTAGAAGGAAGTACATCGGGCATATAGTTGTTAGGTACTTAGCTTAATATTCAGTAAGCTGTATTTAGTATGGTGACTTCATGCTATTGGGAGTAAAACTGTTTACCAAAAAATAGTAATTGAGCCTTTTTTTAATGTACATTCACCATTAACGTCTCACCTAATTCAGTGCCATTATCTTTCTTCCTATCCTTGACTGTTTTGGTATTTAATGCTGGTGACCACCCATTTCTTGAAATTCTTTCTTCCCTTAACTTTCACACTTTTTTTTTTAATACAAAAAAGTGCTTACAAAAAAAATAACTAAAATATGATTCAAATGAAATACGTCACACCTTTACTCCTCACACTCCGCCACTCGCAGGCATCACTGTTTACCAGTTTGGAGTATGTTTACTTGCTTTTTATTTTTCCCCCAAGTTTTGGGTTTTTTTCTCT